TAAATACAAGGTATATTCGACCGACAACGACCTACCAAAGAAATATGTAGAAACATGTACCCCTAAAGAGCTTAGTTAACGAGATACAGGGCATTAAAAGTAATAAATCAAAATTTTAAATTTGCTATAAATCAAAATATCCTTAAATACTTTTTCGAATTTAATTGAGTCCCCGGCACAAAATTCCGTCACTCTAAAATTTTCCAAGTTTCATGTTTTATAACTTTTTATGTTTTATCCTATTTTTATGAATTTTCTACCAGTTCGTAGATAAATTTATTGTGATTTTTGTAAATTATTGTAATAAGTAACATTTTTCGTTAAGGCAATATTATACAGTGGTAAATCAAAATGTTGTTTTATCGCAACTTCAAATCACCCTGTAGCAAAATTAAGAAGGATAATTTTGTTTATAAACTCTTTGCTGTAATCTCAGATGGATTCCAAACATTTTGTTTCTTGATTCATTCCATTATCTCATTTCTTCTGTGAGATGCATATTAACAAAACTAAGAGTAGGTCAGGAGTTATTGTACAAAAAACGCATATAAAAATCAGTGGTGTGTACTAGGGCTGTGCTTGAGCCGCCCCTGCAAAACTACCTCTTTTATTTATATTTTTGTAAAAAGGGTATTTATAATATTGGATTGGTGCCATAAAAATGATGTGTCACCCTTGGTTTACCATGCCACTGATAAAAATACACGTCAGTTTGGAAATGTATTTATTAAATTTAATAGTAATTAAAAAAAATATTTTTTAATTAAATAATTAACAAAAAATTAACAATTATAAATAAACACTTGACAATAATTATTATACATATTTTACAAACAATTTAATTTAGTAAATGTTTAACATGTCCTCCTCTTTCTTAAATACAAAAAATATAAATAAAAGAGATAGTTTTTGCAGGGGCGGCTCAAGCACAGCCCTAGACACACCACTGATTTTTATATGTGTTTTTTGTACAATAACTCCTGACCTACTCTTAGTTTTGTTGATATGTTAAGTCCAGGACGGACGAATTGCTCTAGATATGCAGTTAAAAAATTGTAAATAGCTCGTTAACTAAGAAAGATACAAAGTTCATTTTGCTATAAAAAAAAATTTAAAATTCATAGTTCTTTTTGATTTTTAGATCGATAAGGCAAGTTTCTTTATGACAAAAAAATACGGGGGGGTTAAAAGATACCCAACCCCCCAACTTTTTTTAAAGGAGTTGCTTTAATTTTTTTTTCTCTTTGGAATATTGGGCCTTCAAAACTACAGCACTGGCAACAATTTCAAAAAAAAATTCGCAACAGCAAACTTTTTACAAAAAAAAACGTTTTTTTGAATGTTAGTTTAACACCCTGTAACTTTGTTAGGAGCCAGTTTTTGATATAGGTAAATATAGCCAAATCCACCTATTTTTTGATAATCTATCTGTGGAAGAATTTATGACATACCTTTTTGAAACACCCTGTAGTATATTACCAAAATGAAAAATGTTACTTATATTACAATCATTTAAAAAAATTGCAATAAATGTATCTACAAACTGGTAGAAAATTATTATATATAGAGAATTAAAAAATAATTAAAGAACAAAAAAATGTTTGTTCCTGTGACGTAAAAAATAATGAGGACAAACTGCCACTAACTGTGATAGCGCGCCACTGGTTACATTTTTCAAAAGTTAGTTTATGTTAAACTATTAACTTTCTTAAAGAGCATATTGGCCACCAAATTTGAAAAAAAAATATTTAAAGCCGTTTTTGATTTATGGCAAATTTTGAATTTTAATTTCACCTCTATCTTGGTAACTAAGCCCTTTAAGGGTGCATGTTCCTGTATTAAAATTCCTCAATTACCGAGAGCTCCATGGAGGTAGAGCGTTGTCGGTTAAATTTACTAAAAACCCGTATAATCTTAACAATTTATTTGTACCTAAAAAGGAGAAAATATTAGTTTTTTCAATAAGCGTTGATATGGACAATCCACTCGAGTTGTACGGTATATTTTTTCTACGACCCACTAACGAAAATTTATAAATTTAAAAAAATATTTTAGGTTATTAAGACAAAATAACTAATTTTAAAATAACCTATGAATTTTACTAATTTTTAAAATAAAATAAACATGAAAAAAATATTTAATTTAATTAGTTCCTAGCCCAGATTCTAACCCGGGCTTTTCGCGTATAAGGGCCATTATACTTTTCTGTGCAGGTTTTTGAAACATAAAACTAATAAAATTGAAAAACTATAATTGTACAAAAATGTAAATTTTTGTGTTGAAAACGAACAATTAATCTATTTTCTTTAAGATTAATGTAAAAACAGCACACTTTTTTCGTATTTAACATAATTATTTTAGATAAAAATAGATGAAACCTGGAAAATAATACACTCTGTTAATGCAAAACTTATTTTAATATATTTAAACACTTAAATATTACAAACTTTCTAACACTTACAAATAAAAGGAACTTATGATATTTATCACAAACTTATGTCACTTTATTAAATTTATTTGTTTTTTCTAAAATTTTGAGACCTGTAAGACAACTATGTTACTTTTGTTGCTTTCAGAAAAATCTAATTTAAAAAATTGACATAAATTATGCAACTGCTCCATTTTGCTATGGTTACAATTTTAACATGATATATTTAGTAACATAAGCTTATTGGTTCTCATTTAGCAGAGCTAATTTAAGTACCAAAAAAACGGAAAAGCATACTAGGATGTCGGGAACTCAAAAAGTAACAGAGTTGCACATGAAGTAACATAGTGGTGCTCTTTGCTAATGAAAATACAAAAATCTAATTATAACACGAACAAATAAAATAAAACACATCTTTTATTCTTTTTAAGGACATTTTTAGCCCAAACTACGGTGACAGTTATACCTAATAAAATCAAACAAAACAAAATTCTCTTTAAAACTTCAGAACTTCTTTTGTTAAGAGTGACTTTGGCAGATTATATATATAGTAAGAAAATATATTCAAAAAATCAATCTTACTTTTCAAAAACTTCAAGAGGTCTCTCAAATTCATAAAAAACTCTTTTACCTTTATAGCATTTTATAGGGTTAGAGACAATTTTAATAAGATTTTCGTATGGCTCATCATTTGGTACCGGCCTAAACCTTCTTCCACTATCATCTATGGTTTTTAAGAACATAATTTTAACATCGCCTTCGTTATCGACTGAACTTTGAGCAAGTCCAAGGTAAGTATAAAAGCTACTCTTTTCACTGAAAACTTTGACCATAAAATATACCCCTTCGGTTATATTGTTAGGATGCATTAAAATACCTTGTAAACTTGGATCACTTTGGTACGAAGTACCACCTTCTGTGGGGTTGGCTATTGTGCTTAATGGTTGATCTTCAAAATCAGAGTCTGATGAATAAACAAGATTAAATATAGATTTACGAGAGATTGTTTAGTGATCATAAGTTGTCCTTTCACCTATTATTCTAATAGTTATGGGATGCAATTCATGGTTGACTTCTTCAAATTCAACAGGGATCTCTATTGGGATATCTTGTATAACAGGATCTTTGCAGACACCAGGTGTTGTGTGGTTTATTATCTTTTTTATGGGTTCGTATACTTGTGGATTTAAACATCTACAAAACCCTCTCTTGCAGAAACAGCTTAATTTACGGTAGTATAAAATACCAGGATCTTCTGAAAAAACTTGATGCACTTGCATGGTACCGGGCAGCGGCAAAATATGTTTTGGAATATGTTCTGCCACTCGATCAATATCGTCGTCGTTTATAAAGTAGAGCTTAACTTTGCTAGAATCCTTTAAAGCTTCAAAGAATTGTAATGCATCTGAAATATCCTTGCCTGTAGCTACGATCTGATCTGCGGTTTGTTTGAGAAAACCATCTACACCGTCCGCCGCTCCCTTCCCATGTCCTGCCTCAAAAAAATTCCACGTTACACGTTTAAACTTACATCTTATAAAAATTTCTGAACATATAAGTAGAAAGTTTTACTTTTATCTATACTGTGTAGCGGGTTCTTCTGAAAAGAAATGGCTAGTGCTGACTTGTGGTAAATTCATCTGAATATGGAGTAGAATGGGATGTAAATTTGCCCAAATTGCTGGTGGTGTATGCGAATTGTTTGCCGACACAGAACAAAATGAAATAACTATTTTTGATTCCTTTTCTTGGTGGTACATTACCCCTGTATGTAATGATACTTGCTTCCTTGAATCACCAAAGTGGTGTGACTGCACCTCTTCGAAATGCTTACAACTATAGTTCTCGCTGAAGTCGATATGCAATGCTACTTCATCATTTTCTAGACCTTCAATGCAAGCCCTGTAGCATTTGTATTGGATTTTGATGTTGTGAATGTGGTGTTTCAATTGTTTGAGTGTATTTTCGAAAATAATCAGTTCTTCTAAAGATTTTTCTACTAAATCTTTAACATTCTTAAATACTTTCACTTGTTTACCAGATTTTTCAACTATCTCCGATTTTCTTACCCACTGCGAAAATCGGATAGAATCACTTTTTTTCATTTCATTAATAATTTTCTTTGATTTACATTTTAGATATATATTTTAATTAGTTTTCTGTTATACAAAGCATTTATCATATATTGAGCGTTTGTGTGAAGTTTGCATAGGCAGGTATCCCTTCCATCAATAGAAGGTGGCTTTACAAAAAAAAGGCCTATAGCAAAATAGATGTAAGAACATTTTAGCTTATTATTCTCTTTTTTAAAATATTCATAAAGATGTTTCATGGAATCTAATAGATATCGCTTTTGCATTTTTTGCTTTTTCCACGTGACAGTCTCCTTTTTGCCAGCTGTAGCTCGTGAAACATCATCACGTTTAAAGAAAGCTTGAATCACTAGAACCAGGTTGGACTTTTTCTTTATTACTCTTCTTCGTCTTATATACCCTTGCTGAATTCCTAAGCTTTCTTTTAATATTTCCGACTGATGCCTAGACTTCTTTATTTTCTCTTCATTGAATATGTCCTAGATGTATCGTTTTGCTGAATAATTTTTTATTTTTGAGTAGTGGATTTTGATTGCACTTGACAAAACCTTATACTTATCATTATTATTATCATCATATGACTGTCTCTTTTTAGTTCTTTGGTATCTCTTTTTGTACATCAGAAACTGCCTCCTAATTTTTTCAAATTCTGTAAGCAACTTCTGGTTTTCTCTAAATAATTTTGACCTATCGCGCCTAACCTTTCTTCGTCCCAAAACATGTGCGCGCATTGCAGGACTTAAATTTCGTGGTGTTCCAACAGGAGATGCTGGTGGCGTGTCAATTGCCATTAGTCGCTGAACTGCTTTTTGTTGCTCCCTTCTTTTTTTATTAGCCTTTTTCCATTTTTTCTTTGCGCTTCTATGTTCCCTTGGTGTCATATCTCTGACCAACTTCTTTTTCGTGTGATACCCTATAAGGTCTTTCTTTCTTGTTTCTGCTTCTTTTACAGGATTTTGCTTCCTTCTCTCCCTGTATCTAAATAAAAATTAAAACATAAACATCAGTATTTTTAACATGGATTTTACCACTCTGTTACCTTTGCCACCACTCTGTTACTTTCTTGCGGTAACATAGTATAGCAGTAACAGAGTTGTAAAATACATGTATCTACTAAAATTCTGCCTAAATTAAACACATGGACCCCATAAAAAGTTGCATGCACCATAATGTACCATTAATCCTCAAAGGTATGCCCTATTATTACAACAAAAAATAAGTACTTACCGAGAAAAGTTGATAACAGAGGTGTTCCATCAAAAACACATGCATATAGTTTGCTGGTCTAAGATGTACTAGTCACATTTCGCCGCACCTTGTGATAGCGTGCGCGGGAAGGCTTTTGATTAGTTAACACTGGGGCGACTTGTTTTGAGATACACCTCATAATTTGTTAATTAGTATTTTACTAAGATTATATTTGGCATATCAGCATATTTTGGTGTCACAATTCTACTACTGCTCTGTCTACAATTAATAACAAATTTATGAACAAGTAAAAAAATATATCTTTGTAAAGTTATGTTCTCAATCTTCCTGAAAAGTCTCCATATTTTTAGGTCGCAACCGTGGTTTTATTTATGTCTATATTTATAAAATGCTACGTCTTTTTTCCATTTTTTACGCTCATTGAAAGGCACTTAGAAAGTTGTAAAAACTTCCATAACATGCAAGAATCCAATAAAAAGGCAAATAACCAAAAAAACACCGACTGATAGAGTAATTTCCATGATATCGCCCACAGAAATTTTTCCATCACTTTATATTCATATCCTTTCACTGTTTTCGCATTTTAAGTTTGCCTTTCACTAAAATGATGTAGAATATAGACTCATCGGCGTAGGGTTTGGCCTGATGTTCTAGCTTTCCATTGGCGTACTAGAAATTATAATTGTTTTTAGAAACAAAATATCAATAAATAGATAATATTGACAATAATCGAATACATAACTATTAAACTAAATGTCAACAAACAAATAACAAATAAAAATTAAACAAAAATAATGGTAATAATTACGTAACAAAAATGAAAAAATCTAAGCTTTTTAATTTACATCAAGAGCATTATTCTTTAAATACCAGAATCACTCTAAGTTGTAGTAAAAATTAAAAAAGTATTAGGTTCTTTAAAGGCTTTTTATAAATGTTGCATAATCTGTAAATGTTTTTCAAGAAACAGTAAAAACAATACTTAGGATTACTTTATTATTAGATGGTCTGTCACATGGTCTAACTCTGTTAATGTTTTTTGTGTGTCTTTATTCTGTAAAAAATTGAACAACACATATTTTTGTAACTCATAAACGCCAAATAATCTATTGATCGAATGCGCGATGTGGCAGATTTACAACGGAATAAATAATAATAATACTCTCCCTATTTCACCCCCTTACGAGTGAAATTACAACTCCTGAAGCCGACTGAGCGACTTATGTTGAAGAAGTGACGGCTATTATTTTTATTTGCCGTGGCGCTTTGGGGCGACTTAAAGATGATTGATAGTACCATTTGACTTACAGGTGAAGAAAACTCTGAAAACCTTACTCACCATCATCGAGACGGTAGCGCATGGCGATTTATAAACTGGATGTCATATCAACAGAAAGTGAATGTCTGTTAATACGGCACACATCAAATTCTATAACGAACCATGCAATTTGATTAAAATTTCACATGGTCTGATGTAGGATTCGACTACAAACTTGCCTATAAATGAATATACGTGCGTAAGACAGCTACGTCACCAACCCGAATTAAATAACCTGAATGCGTAATATAACAGATATGCTACACCAAATAAATGTATTCCATACAACGTAATTTTAATAATGTTTGACTCGATAATAAGTAGAAACGGTACGTGGTAGGAATAGGGTTTGACTTGAAAATTTATATATTTTTTTGTTCGGTAAAATAAATGTCATATACAATAATTGTGTTTGATGTCTTCTTCGTTTTCCTTTTTTTTTCTGTCTCTTTTGTTTATTTATATGTAGCTATCTCAACAGTTAGGGTCTAATAACAGCTACGCCATAATAATTTTGCGAAGTAATTCATTGGCTATCGCCGCCTACTGCGAGTTTAATGGCGTGATAATAATATAGGAATATAGAAAAAACCGGCCAAGTGCTAAGTGCGAGTCGGACTCGCTCATGAAAGATTCCGCACCATGGTACAAGATTTAATAGTATGTAGGTACTTTTTAAATACTCTATTAAGATTGAGCAAAAAAGCCAAAAAAACACGTTTCTAGAGGGGAAACCTTAAATAAGTTAAGGTAAATAAGGATACGACGTACCGTAATAATGACATTAGTTAACTAACCTCAAATAAAATTAGCCTATAAATCTTAAAATACAATGACTAAGGGTACGTGGTGAGCAGTGATCACAATGAACACAGTAATACATGCCCTATTAGCTAATCAATTCGTAATTTTTTATAGCCTACTATAGTAAACAATTAAAATGAAATTGATAATTATTATTTAAACATTACATAATCAGATAATGATGCATTATTTGAGATATTCCTAAATATAGCAGATCAAATGGTTTTTTAATTACAATTTTAATGACATTTCAAAAGAATTCTTCCATACTGGGAAGTGTAGTTAACTATAATTTAAATATAGCAAATTACGCATTTAATAGCTATTTATGCAACCAATTACAAAATGCCTTATTTTATGAAACGGGCGAATATTTGCGGGAGGAGCAGAGCGAGGTCCCGATAAATAAACGAGCTTCTATGATTTTAATTAAATGATAAAATTGTGTTTGGCAAACAAATGACTAACCATTTATTTATCACCCTGTATACTATAACACCCAGTATAAGGCTTCTAAAACTTGCTCTAAATAAATCAAGCCCTGTGAAACAGTTTTGCTGTTTCGAATTGTTTAAGGTAATTGGCCCACGACATCTTTTCGTCGAAAGTTGGGGCTTTAACACGGGCGGAGTTTACAGCTTCTTCCAATTTCAATAAGTCGGAAGAAATTTCGATTTTTAAAGAAGATATGCCAGAAGACACCTTTTCTTATAAGGAAGAAACTTTATTATCTAAGGAAGAAATATCTGAAGAAACTTTAGTTTCTAACGAAGAAATTGAAGAAATTATAAAAGACGCATCATCCGAAAATAGAAACGTTTCCGGATCCAAAGCTTCATTATCTATTGTTTTTTTAAGTCGATCTGCCAACTCTAATTTCTTCCCTGTAATTTCCAATTTACGTTCTTCTAATTCTCGACGCATTTCAGCTACTTTTAAATAACACAGTTTTTTAGCCATTTTTGTCCATTATTTATTTACAATCCCACTTCTGACTCGATGTAACGTTTGTTTAATTTATTTATAGTTTATTTATTTAAAACACTTTTTTGCAATTTATTTATAACGTATTAATTTATATAATACTTAGGCACTATTTATTATAACTCACAATTCTAATTTATTTATTACCATTTATCTTTTCTGTTTAACACTTAAATTCAATCTCCTTGTCCGTCGACAAACTCACGTTATTTATAAAAAGCCAGCTCTGCACCAGAATACTCTGGGCTTTCCAGAACTATTGAAAACTGCCTCTCTACGACTCATACGCCGCAAAGGGATCTATCCGGTGCGTTTGTCTCTATATGGTCAGCGCTAGACTTCATACTGCGGGCAAGGAGTAAACAAGGAACAGAAACGGCTTTTGCGTCACAATATTTTAGCATCGCCCAATAAAAAGCGTTCAACTCTTACCAGTATCTGCAGGTCTTACCACTCAAATTCCTCTTTATCTTTTAGACCTGTAGTAGGTATCCAAACCTTCAGTATCTGACCAAAATAAGAGCAAATCAACTTGTTTTGGAGTTGTTCTGCTGTTTTTGGAACTGTGCAACATTTCTTCGAATAAATCATCCATGATAATACTTACATATGAATTTGGAAATTAAATCAATTAGAGTAAACATAATAAATGGTCTTTATTAACACTGAAACAAATAAAACATTTTTCTAAATTGTATTAAGAAAATATAGGTATAAGAGGTAAAAGTGTGATTTTTGTAAATATTGTTATAGAAGAAATAAAGAGCATAAAAAATAGCAGGGATTGAACCAAAATGAAAAGATCAAAGTGAGTTTTTATTAGAAATAATGATAGAGAAAATGGATGAAAATGCGACAGAAATGAATCAAAATAGTAGTAAAATCGATAAAATCGATAAAATCGATAAAATGGATGAAAATAGTAAAAAAATGGATAAGAGAATGTAGAAAACAAGAAAGGTTTTTCTAAAGAGACAGGTGGAGAAATGGTTAACATAAAGATAAAAGGATATAAGGAGATAAAGGATGATGGTAAAAGGATATCAGGATTGAAATAGACAGATAAAAGTTAATTTCTAATAAAAATTACAAGAATTAAAAGTGGACAAGAAAATAAATGGCATTAAAAAAAAGTGTGAATACTGTAAATAGTAAGATTGAATTGTGTGAACGGGGAATGACGGGAATATGTACGAAAACCAATGAAATTGGAGTATAGACTAGAAATAGAAAAGGTATAGATAAAAATTGAGAAAAAGAATATAGTTAAGAAAGACAAGACAGATTGAAAATAAAGAAAAAGAAGTAAGTATTAAAAAGAAAAGAAAAATTAAAAATTAAAAAGTTAATAAAGAAAATAAAATAAATATAGGAATAATATAAAAATGAAAGTTGCTGTACTTGGAGCAAGTAGAAAAACAAGCCAGCTTCTTGTATGCTTAAAAGAGACAATTAAGACGAAAATTTCTGGCATCAATAGAAAACCAATTAAAATCGTTCATTTTCAGTCACGTGTAGCAGTATATCCAATCAGCTCTAACTTACACTGATAAGTTCCCTAGGGGTGTTATCACTTAAGTCAATTTTGCACCCAACAAATTATGTGTGAACTATAACGTTTATTTTTATTACGCTAAATGATAAAACTTAAAATTGGACGTTTGTTCTAATAACTAATAATTATTTAATTAAAAATAATATAGGAATAAGATGAAAAGTAGAGAGAAAATTAAGGTATCAAGGAAGTTGTGTTAAAGTTA